GCTGATGTTAAATACCAATACCGATACAAGATGTTAGTGTGGACTTTCTCAAAATGCAATTGCATTGAAAAGTATCCCGGAGTATAGTTCAGCTTTGTGGTGTGTTTGATATGAAGCGAATGGTTTACGTCGACTCCAATTTTTTTAAGACGTGCATTGGCCTTACGTAGATCTTCATACATTCATTTGTATTTGTTTGATTTGGGAATGCAAAACAAAACTTAAAAAAAAATATATGTAAGGGTCAAAAATGGGAATGGCAGATTTGACGACCACAAGTCCGAATATATACATTAAATAATATGAGTACAATATGTAAGGTTGTCTTGCTGCGCATCGTTTTTTATGTTCAAGAAAACCACTTTCCACGAGCCGTATGTGATTCGTATTGTCTACTACTATCTGGGTATGAATGCACAGCATGGACAGAAAGAAGAAAGAACGGACGGGTGGACCCATTCAACCATCACTATATACCTTCCTATTTAGAAAGCGAAGAGTATATTGAATATTAGGAAGAACAAAATGAAGGAAATCGAAAACAAAAATTGCCCGACATATAATTAAGCAGTCTTTGCAAGAGGTGAAAACGAATATTCCATTTTCAAAATATCCTTCTGACCCAAGGATAATAAAATTAACTTCTCCATGTAAAAGTTTAACTCCACTTTCAACAATATCTCAATTTAATCGTGGTGTTCTGTTTTGTTGGTGGAGGTAGCCGTGATACCAAGAAAAAAAACTTCCGACCCTTCACCGAAACGTAAATTTAACATGCTTGAATAATGGCCAAATGTGGTAATCTTTTAAAACTTTATTCGTTATCCTCTTCTGTCCGAAAATCCGAAAAACTAACTGACAAAAGGTGATAGAAAGAAAATGTCAGTTAAAATGTGAATAAGAATAATTAATTCACACATTGTAACGAGTTTTTTTTAGGTATTGTCTCTTTTCAGCATTACATTAAATTGCCAGAGTGACTTTTCTGGATAAAATAAAAAGATAAACTAACTGACAAAAGGTGATAGAAAGAAAATGTCAATTAAAATGTGAATAAGAATAATTAATTCACACATTTTAACGGGTTTTTTTTTTTAGGTATTGTCCCTTTTCAGCATTACATTAAATTGCCAGAGTGACTTTTCTGGATAAAATAAAAAGATAAAGATTATCAAATTGAAATAGTTTTTGTTTCATTCTTTTATTTTTTTTAATTGTCAAGTACACAAATTTCTAGGTTTTTTTATTAGAATTGTAAGCTACACATTTCTCTAATCTAGAAAATGATATAAATTAAGGAGATGTGGTATGGTTGCCAAAGTAGACAACTATCTACAAGAGACCAAATGACGCAAATGTTTGCAACTATAGGTCACCGTATCCCCCCCCCCCCCCCCCCCCCCCCAAAAAAAGGAGCAAAACCCATCCCGTATAAATGCTTTGAAAGGTATATCTTAGATAAATTTCAAATAAACGAACACTTTGTACAAAGATTGACGTAGAGTAAAAAATCGGATTCGGGTGTGATTTGATTGCAGTGGTATTTTTTTTATTCATTTATTTTTATCACTTTGCAGATTTTCCTTGTAGTCGTTCAACAACATAGTAAGAAATGGAGGAACAACGATCTTAAACTTATTCAATCAAGGCAATTTTATGATAATATTAATAATGATCGTGTTGTTTTGCTGGATCCTCCTCGTAGTACATTGTTATTATGTAATTGTATAAAAATCATCTCGGCATTATCAAACTAACCCATACAGGTAACTATAATAAAATTATTACCTGGGGTTTTTGAGATGGTCCCCACAATAGCCTGTAGTGGTTTCGGTATTTAACATCAGCGTCAAAATCGTATTGACTTTCCTAATACGTCTAATAATAATATTAATCTTAATCAATATCATAATTATACCGATTAGTACTACTATATAATCACTATAAAAAATCGCTTGAAAAAGAACAAATTCTTAGCTACAAACACTATTGGGTGAATTGAAATAATAATTATAAATTTCGTGCGTTCAAGGCGTTTTCCGAATTTACCTTCAGCAGGAACGCTCTAAAATTAACATTTGAAAGCCAGGGATTTATAAAAACGGTGAAATGTTTGAAGTTTTATGACTATGACCTTAGAGGAAGAAACAAATTCATATAGAGTCACCTTTGCCTGAGGGAGTTGAAACCTTAGTTTTTTAATAAATTCTTAGTTATAAACGGGTCATTTTAGAAAATTATGTTATAAATCGTGTCAGTACCGAAGCACCGACTACTGAGTTGACGATACCGGCTGATACTAAAAGTAAAACAGCAAAGGTATCGACCCAGTTCATGTAAGTGAAAATAATCAGCATTTCATAAACTTCATGCGTCCGTAGCGCTTTTGTAGAATGTAGAATGAAGAATCATGAACGACGTAAACCATGAAAACTGACATATCATGTTTAACAGAACTTTTATATTTCAAATGTATATCATTTCGAAATTAATCAAATACAACATATATTTATAACAGACGCGAGAATAAAAAGGTTATAATGATATGAACCGTCAGTAATAATTATATAATTTAGGAGATAACTTTTTTTTTCTTTTCGCTTAAACATTGAGCTGCTTTATTTTGGGGGCTTTACAGAAGAACTTTTTACAATATATGATATTAATTACACTTTAAAAACTGCACAATTTACTTTAAATTTTTGTACCTGATTTTGAATAAAAGTATCCATTTGGAGACCATGACAGAAGCAACTTTAAAAAAAGGTTACTTTCCTTTTCAAAAAACATCCCTCAACATCCATATAACTGTTGACTTTTTATTAACAAAGAAAATTTGTAATAAAATATGACAGAAAACCTATCGTTGCCATTCTTCCTATATTTCATTTTTGATGAGCTAATCCACGATAGATCCATTAAAGTAGAAAAGTACAGAAGTAGCTCGTTTTTTCACTAGTCCGAAAGGTTAACCAATCATGTAAAAACAGTTCACCTTACAATAATATGATGTTTGAAAAAGTACAAATGGTAAGACGGAAAGATTATGGGTCATTCATTTAATTGAATAACAAATATCCTGAAGGTATCTTCTGGGGAATATAAATATATGTTTCATTCACATTGAATTTCGAGGTATTGACAAACCCTAACTTCTTGTTGTATTGTGCTATATTGCTCATTTATTTGTAGATTATCATGCGTGCAAATGTATATGTATTTGCGAATGTATAAATGTTATTCTCTTCAAGCAACTTTCTTGTGCATAAGTTGGAAATAATTACTCGTGTTTTGTTTTCCAAATTAGACTCTGAACACCAATCAGCACACTCCTGATGATATGCAATTGTTAATTATGAATTTTATGGCAGAGATATAGTGAACAGAATGTCTTTCATTGAAAAATAGATCGTAGACGTATTTCGTTTTCATAAAACAAAAATATTTAATTGCTGGTGTCTATTTTGACAATGTGAAAAGACATTCTGCAAATGAGTTGATTCAAGAATTCCTTGATGTGTATAAAAATACTGAAATCCTACATTGTGTACACGAAAGATTACATCTTTAAGATTGCCACTCACTTGTTTTATAATGAATAGTTATAGCCAAATATATACACTCGGTACTTAACAAAAAAAGGTCTCAGTTATAGGAGATCTTACACCAAAGGCAGACTACAGGCAGACTTCCAATTAGATTTTTTGACAATAAGAACTGAGAATATATTAGTTGTCTTTAAATTTGCTGTAGTTAAACAATTATTGGGTCCCTTCAAGCTAAATAAAGATTGAAACGGGGGAAACGTAAGCCTAACTATTTTCATAACTATAATGATTATTATTATTATTATTATTATAATTATTTTGATTATTATTTTAACTATTTTTATTATTATAATAATTATTTTTATTATTATAATAATTATATTTATTATTATTATTATTGAAACAATAACTCAACAAACATTTTACAAAACCAAAGAATTCTGTTTATTTCGCTGAAAGAATCCATTTCACATTTAAATTTTTTTTAAAATGGACCAATTTCTTAATTCATATTCATCGTTAAGAATCTTAAACATATTATTTGTCATAAAAGAATTTCGTCCTCTACGTTCTTATTTTCTTCACCATGACTACCACCGTTCAATATTTATATGTTCAATTAATATTTTTTTCATCTAATTTGAAGATTTAGATAAGTTTAAACTTTACTGTCACTGAAGAACAATGAATATTAGTTAAGATATGAGGACTCTTTTTGGAAAATTACCCTGTGGTAGTGATATGAAATAAATTCAGGGACACTGGAGCGCTCTTGTTGGATTTTTCTAGTCAAACCTTTCTTGACACTTCTTTTCTTGATATTATCGATATACCTAGCTCAAAACTGTATCTACAATTTGTTTTTGTACTCAAAAGAATATGTGCTTCGTCAAATGAGGCAAAAACAATTTACTTATGTTTAAACTGATAAATCTATTTTTAATGTACAAAATATTGAAAAACCCAAATGATAATGTCGTTAGAGCCAGCGTTTCCTGCCAAACTGGACTCAAAAGTGGCATGATATAGAATACAACAAAAGCAGCAAATTAAGCAAATCGTAGCCTTTGTCGTGGTTAAACTAATCAAAGTTGCGCATGAATTGATTATATTTTTCCAATACATTTTTTATCTTTTATTTCTGTGTGTGTGTATGTTTTATCAATTACAAACAAGGTCTAAATACTTAGTAGATATTATTCATCGGAGTGTACATGTATATGTTTTTCTTTGATATTGGTCAAACGTTAAACATGATTGTTTAAGCCGTAGTCGTAATTTAGATCAAGTCTATAAAACAATATAGCATCATCTATTACTTTTTTTTATAGTATCCGAGTAGTGTTAATTGGAAAAGTGGGTGTTGGCAAGAGCGCGGTAGGAAATACTCTTCTCGGGGAAAACAAGTTCGTTTCGAGCGGGACTGCTGACAGTTGCACAAAAAAAACTAAAATGGTAACTGGAACTTTGCCGTCTGGTAGGCGCATTTCAGTTGTTGATACACCAGGGATATTAAACACAGAAGGCAAAAATGTTAGCAGTGAAATACGCAAAGCTGTTGATGCGTTGAAACCAGGTCCAAATGCATTTCTGATTGTACTAAAACCTGGGAGAGCAACAGACGAGGAAAAGGGGGTTATTCGTACTCTGAGGCAAATTTTTCAAAAAGAGTCTTACTTTGACCATACCATATTAATTATGACAAGAAAAGCCGATATCGAAGACGACAATGATGACCATATTCCAATACATCAATACATGAGGGAAGATGTTTCAGATGATTTGAAAAAACTTTATAAACAATGTGGAAAAAGAATAGTTGCAGTTGAAAATTTGTCTAACTCTAGAGATCAATATGCACAAGAAATTTCAAATGAAATAGAATCATTGGGAGGTTATTATGATCGTGAGTTTTATGAATTAGAAAAAGAAAACAGGAAAAAAAGAAAAGCTGAAATAAAGCAAAACGAGGAAGAAATTGAGAGGATAAGGCAAAAGCAAACATCTGGATTATGTGTTATAATATGAACATTAACTTTGTATCTGTATTTCAGTTGTTTCAGACAACAACGATACAATATCTCAGTCTGAATTGTTTTGTGTAGTTATCTCTATTTCAAACTTTTTTATATATATTTTGTAATCATGCTAAATAGCACAAACAGTGTTCGATGTTAGTTTTTACCAAATTTGTCTATTCCAATACTAAAATAGGGAGATGTGGTATGATAGCCGAAGAAACAATTATACATCAAATACTAAAATAAGAGGCTGTAAACAACTATGTAATCGTACAGATTTTAACAATGAAAAACCCATACCACATAGTAATTTATAAAAAGTCCCAGCATGACAAATAAACTCATCATAGATACCAGGATTGAAATTTTATATTTCCGCCAGACGCTCGTTTCAAAATTTCAAAGAATTAAGAACAAAACAATAACGATTGTGATTCAAGCAAAACATAATTACGAAAAATAATATCATAATGACGAAACAACCAACCAATAAACACTGAATAACAGAATTACATGACCCTGACTTGGGATAGACACATAACAAATGTAGAGGAATTAAACATGTTTGTGAGCCCAGTAGTCAGCACTTCTGTGTTGACAAGAATTGTTACTCATAAGGTCATAGTTGAAAATGTACTGTTTACAAAACTTTGATTTTTTCGAAATACTATGGATTCTCTTCCTCAGTAATAGATTACCTTAGCTCTATTTGGCAAAATCTTTCGGAATTGTGGTTCCTCTATGTTTTTCATTTCGTCCGTTTTTTTGCCTTTTTTACTTTTTTGCTTCGAGTGTCACTGATCAGTCTTTTGTAGACGAAACGCACGTCTGGCGTACAGCATTCAAATCCTGGTATAGATGATGACTTTATTAACTCTCCCTTGCCTTTACATGAGAACGACTGTAAAAATCAGTCCGAAAGGGTTTGACTCATCAGATCGGCACGAAGCTCAACCAAAACAACAAATACACAAAGAAAAATTCAAAGTACCGATTTGAGAGTGCTCACAAATACTGCAAGCTAGTTCAAAGCAAATTCCAACTATTAAGTTCATCATATTTATCCAGTCTGAAAAATTGATTAGTTCAAATCCAACGGTTTCAGTTTAAAACGTCATAAACAACCAGAGAAAAGCACGACAGTGTACAATATTTACAGATTGAAAGACTATGTAGATATGTTTTGTCTAGTTCAACAGGCTCTTTTTGTGCAAATATGTGCGAAAGGCTAAATGCATAAATGAATGATCATTTTATTGGTATCAATTGCCATTTCGAAACGAATGAAAGTAACGTCATATTAAACAAAACAAATGATGGCAGTATATAGTGTAAACAATCGAAACAAATCTGTTATTCTCCAAACGCCTACAATAGCAATGTAAATGTAGCAAGAATGACAGAGTTGCTACAATTTAAAGCATGAAAAAACTATGACAAAAGTAACTCTTAAGGTAATTGATTATCGGTCTTTTGACAACTTTATAATATTATGGGTATGGGGGTATGGAAAATGTATATCAGATGAACAACACTTGAATTGCTGTTCTTAATCTTGAAAATGCAAATTGGGCTGGAGGATTCACAAGACAAAAACCAAGTAAACATACAAAATAATTCAGACCAATTACATGGTATTTCCTCATTACAATGGGCAAGTAAATTAAAGTAAGGATATATGATTTAGAAGACTTCAAAAGTAATCAGGTATCGTTTGTAAGGCTTCATTTGTATTGTTTTAAAAGGAAAGGTATGAAAGCCCCGTCATTTGATCCTGGAATTCCAAATAATAAACTAAACTAATCATTTTATTTCTGATTATAAATAATTGTGAGAATCGTTCCTGATAGTTTGAGTGAAGACCTCACATTTCAGGTCACATAAAATTAAGCTCTAATTAAAACATAATCTGAAAAAGTTTAGCTGTTTCTACGTGAATGCAAGAACTTCTGAAAAAATGATAACAAAATTCTGAAATATCAATTCTGGCGTATGTGTACATTAGTACGTTTTTTAATAAATTAAAATTTTGGACTTCGAAGGACCACGAAGTCATTTCTCTCCTTTCATTTTTAAACCATTTTTATTTTTATATTTTTACCAACCAGGTCGAATTTTATCTATTCAAGCAGGATAAAAATAATTGTATTATATGAATAATAACATTTAAAACTAAAAGATAAGACAAAGCAAAGCAAATGCGAACGTTGTGTTTTAGACTGTTAAACAAACAAATACTTGACAACTATGTGATGATTAATGCTGCTAGATAGAATATTTGGTAAGTCTTCAAAAATAAAACAAAACAAATAAACTTTTCCATATACTCATATGCATATATGCATTTACCTGTTATTATGGAAAAAACTATCCATTATGAAAGTGCAGTTGCATACACAATCAAGAGTGTAAGTTTACTGTGGCAATATTAACACCTTAAATAGTTTTAAACATATCCCAGATGCAATTGAGCTTATTTAAATTTTCTCTGTGTGTTTTTCCACCTTTTTGTTTATTTCAGAGTAAGACGTGATGTCGAAAAACTAGAAATTAAACAAAACTTATTATTTTTGGAAAAATACAGGAAACAGCTAGGCAACACAATAAATAGGATAATCATTGAACTAACAGATAATAAATTTTAACACAAAGATTATTCAACGAAAAATAATGTTTCAGAAAAATCTATTTTACTAAACAGTTACTAAGATATGTAAAATTAAAAGTCCTTTCCTCATCAATGATTAAACCTGTATAATTTAAGATCAGTGAGTTAACCGGAATTTTAATTAAAGTTTAAAAGCTCAATATCATAAAATTTGACTGAGACATAAAAAGTTATATAGGATACAAAGTAAGCCTATGATTGTCCAATTGATTTTCTTCTTTTTTAAATGTATGTATTTCAATGTTTCCAAAGACTTTCTTGATGGAGTATTGCTGCTTACAGTGAAGCTATTGAACCAAGGATTCCAAGTGGTAAAGTTGAAATCCTCATTTCGCAAGTTTTACGTATGCCATTGACGTGCTTGACCGTTTTGGAATATCTGTGTCACAGATGACCACGAATATGTTCCAATCGTCGTTACTACAACAGTTGAAACTAGTGTGATAATACATGTTTTTACATGTTTTCGCATTTATTATATAAGAAAGAAATCATATTAAAGTTGTATAATTTATCCCCTTGAAAACGTTTCCATATTTTATGAGCAATATATATTTTATAGCAAAAACCACTGTGATCGTGTAGCTACTTAGATGCATGTTGATTTTTTGTTAAAAATGCACAATAAGGGGATACTTAATGTGAGATGGAATAAAAAAAAAACATAGAGGTCTCTAAATAACTCATAAGGATGTCACTTTATTCTTTTAACATTTCAAACTAACCTCCGTTCAAATAGATTGTAATTGTCTTATTCTATTGTATTTCAATTTATTCGCTTGTTTCAATGTCACATAACATTTTTACAACACAATTACAACCGAAGTGTATCCAGATTTGCTTGAGATAGTAAAATGAACAAGGTCAATTTATTGAAAAGGTACTATTACCTGGAATAGCGGTTTACTGTAAATATAAACTTCAAGAGAACTTTGCAATTTAAGAATTGTTAACTTTCAAATGTTGGTTATGTTGTGTAAAACAATTATTTTCATAAAGAATCATTGGTGAATTACTTAAATGTACAAACTTTTTTTTATTTTTAAAATTAAAATTTTGCGATTAGATAAATATAAAATTTGACTAACCAAAAATGAAAATAACGTAATAATTATAAATTTCGTGCGTTCAAGACGCTTTTCTGAAATTACTTTCAGCAGGAACGCTCTTATATTAACATATGAAAGCCAGGGGTGTATAAAAACGGTGAAATGTTTTATGACTCAAGTGAACCTCAAAAGAATAACCAAATTCATATAAAGTCAACTTTGCCTGAGGGCGTTGCAACCTTCTATTAGTTTCTGAATAAATTTTTAGTTATAAACGAGTCATTTTAAAAAAGTATGTTATAAAGCATGTCAGTGCCGAAGTACCGACTACTGAGTTGACGATATCCGCTGGTACTACAAGTCAACCAACATAGGTATCGACCCAGTTCATGTAAGTGAAAAAAAAATAACACTGTATAAACTTCATGCGTCCGAAGCGCTGTTGTAGAATGTAGAATGAAGAATCATTACCTAAGGTTTTTGACGTAAACCATGAAAACTGGCATATCATGTTTAACAGAACTTTTATATTTCAAATGTATATCATTTCGTAAATAAACAAATACAACATATATTTGTAACGGATTCGAGAATAAAAAGGCTGTTAAAAGTAAAATAACAAAGAAAAACGGACTCGGAAAGTCCCTTATAAAATGGCAAAATCAAAAGCTCAAACATATCAAACGAATAAAAAACAACTGTCATATTCCTGACTTGGTACACGTATTTCCTTATGTAGAAAATGGTGGATTAAACCTGGTTTCATAGCTATCTAAACCTCTCACTTGTATGACAGTCGCAAAAAATTCCATTATATTGACAAGAATGTGTGAACAAAACAAACAGACATTATAATAATATGAAAAGTCAGTAATAATAATATGATTTGGGAGATAACTTTTTTTTTCTTTTCGCTTAAACATTGAGCTGCTTTATTTTGGGGGCTTTACAGAAGAACTTTTTACAATATTTGATATTAATTCCACTTTACAAATTGCACAATTTACTTTTAATTTTTGTACCCGATTTTGAATAAAAGTATCCATTTGGAGAACATGACAGAAGCATCTTTAAAAGAAGGTTACTTTCCTTTTCATCAGACATCCCTCAACATCCATATAATTGTTCACTTTTTATTAACAAAGAAAATTTGTAATAAAATATGACAGAAAACCTATCGTTGCCATTCTTCCTATATTTCATTTTTGATGAGCTAATCCACGATAGATCCATTTATATAGAAAAGTTCAGAAGTAGCTCGCTTTTTCACTAATCTGAAAGGTTAACCTA